TCAGGGAAAGGGCCGAAGGTCAAGCAATTCCGCGCCAGCGCGCAGCTGCAGTTGTTTCACCCCCGCTACTTCGGAGGTTCCTCATGAGTGTCTCGGAAAGCCTTGTGTTCTCACAATTGTTTGCCGTGTCGGTCATTTTCTTTGGCAAGGGTACGTACGCGCGCCCACGCGCGCAATCCATGTCAATTACACTCCCAAGCAAGGCGTTCTTCATATAGATGGATGGGCGTGCTGTGTGGTCACTGAGTAAGGTCATGGTGTGGGGCGCGTTGAAGCTGATCGCGCGTGCCACGCTGCCCGGGTTTGACACAGTGGAGCTGTTCCTTAGACCCCATCACATCGCCACCGACTTTGTTTCTCTACTCGACAGTGCTCGGAAGGCATTTCAGGACTTGGCTGCGCGGCACTCGTGCAAACTTTTTGACGAAGTGCCTGTCATTGTCGTCGATGGCAAATGGAGTTTGCAGCTCTCTGTGTGCAACGAGCGGGGGTCTGGCTTAGTGTGGAGCTCCAGCTTGCGCACCGGCTTCTTGAGCGGTTGCACTGCCCGCCCGGAGCGTGGAAGCAAGTATTGCCAGCAGCACCAGCCTCCAGCCGAAGAAGCACCCCGTGGACCGCAGCTCTCCAGCCATCGTGAAGTCGTTCGGGGCTCTTCGATTGTCTTGCAGTACGACACTGGTGACGGGTCTTGGGCTGACGCAGCAGACCTGCCCGTCAGCGCCGTGCGCCACTACGAGGTCAACTCACTCCCTAAGAAGACAGCTTCCGCGCAGAGGCCAGCGGAAGAGTGCGGGGCCGATGTCCGTCGAGGCACGCCTGAGCCAAGCATTGGCCGCAAGTCCGCGGGCATGCTGATAGCGGTTTCGCCCTGCCTGCAGATTTTGGGGCTGCGGCCAATGTACTCCACGGAGTCGATCACGCAGGTCTTGCTCTTTGTGCAGCACGTGCTTGTCTACATGGTCCACGTGTCGTGGGTAGTGTACGACTTTGCTTGCGGAGTGGTCCGCCACATGCGCACGCAATGTCGCCAGCGTGCTGGGAAGCCGGAGGAGACTGAATGGCGGAGGATGGCCGGCCTCAGGTGGGTCATCGATAAGCTCCATTTTCAAGGCCACAAAGGTTGTCGAAACCCTACCTCTACGTGGTTCCTGCCGGATGTCAACCCTTATGCTGCTCGATTGGATATGGCAAGGCCTCGTTGTTTAACTAAGCGGTGTTTTTTCTAAGTGACCTGTTCTTTGACCTGCTGCTGTTCTTTCTCGTGCGCTGCTAGGCCCATACTGTGCTTCGTGGAGTTGACACCGAGGCCGCAGAGCAAGTGTTTCACATTGTGTCCAGGTGGCAGGACAGCTTGTCCAGCGCCCACCCGGTTCACGATGAGCTGCTCTTGCTTGTCTTCAGTCACGAACACAATTCCCGGCACGAGTGCCAGCAGGCATGGGACACCTACCGCGGGCGGCAGAGCGCCCCGCCCACGGCACACGCTGCGCCTACATGCGGGGATGAGACCTGCAGCCAGCCTGTTGCTAAAGCAAAGCGAAGGCGCCAGCAAACAGAAGCAGCGGGGTGCTGTGACGCTCCTGGTGCTGAGGCTGGAGCGGCGCCAGTGCAGCCGGCAGAAGTCGCAGCGGTGCCACTGCAGCCAGTGGCTGCAGATCGTGGTTTTCTGGGCTGCGAGCGCGTGGTTGTGAACGCTGCCACCGGCACTGTGCACCGAGTGGACGCCACAGTCCCTGGCGCAGTTGCTGTTGGCTGTGGCTGGGTGCCTGACCCGCAGGCCGGGAATCGCGCAACACGGACCGCGGACCTGCGGGGCCTCAACCTCAGCAGCTGTGGCACCTGCTTTGGGCAGCGCCTGCAACTTAACTTAGAAGACTAGCAGCTGGCGGCGAGCAACAGGAAAAAATATGCGCGGCTGTTGTTGCAACATGGCCGCCGCGCCCATGATCCAGGGTTCGCTCAGCTCCGCATTTACCCCGTACCCTGCCAGGCACCTGCGCGAGTCGTCCACAGCACGCACGGAGGCAAGGCCTGTCCGGCGAGGCGCGCTTGTCTTGGACGTGCTATCTACCAAGCGCATGCGTTTGTTCAACTGCGATGACGCGCGCTCTTGCCTCATTGCGAAGAATTCGCGCAGCGAACCAAAAGCTTCCGCGCCACGGCGCTTGCAGTCAAGTCATTGCCAGCACTTTCCTTCATTGCTTGCTGCCTTGCCTAACTGATGGCTTGATGGTTTGCTTGATTACATGATCCCCGGAAAGCATTGCGAAGGGTTCTTCAGGAAAGATCTGCGGCGGACTGCGCTAGCAAGTTGCGCTAGCAAGTTCCGTTCGCAAGTAGCGCTAGCGAGTTGCACTTGCACGTTGCATTAGCCAGTAGCACTAGCGAGTTGCACTGGGAAGTTGTGTTGGCCGGTTACATAAGAGGTTCCTTAGCGAGTTGCAGTCGCAAGTTGCATTAGCAAGTCGCACTGGCGAGTTGCCTTCGCAAGTCGCGCTGGCGAGTTGTCTTAGCAACTTGCATTGGCACGTAGCGCTGGCGGGTTGCGCTAGGAACCTAAATTGGCAGGTTACAGAAGACGTTGCTTTAGCAAGCTACAACAGCAAGCTACGCAACAGATTTGCACGTGAGGTTTTCAGTGTACTACACTAGGTAAACATGTGTGCTAAGATTCTTTTGCGTTCGCGCATGAAAGACAGAATGTGAAGCTCGACAAGTAAAAATTACGCTTTGAAGGCGGCGGGCCGTGGTCAAGGTCAACAAACTGAGGACTTTTTGCGATTTCTGCGGTGCGCGCGCAGCCCTGTGCGGCGAACGGCGTGGTCGATGTCACTCATTCATTCATTCATTCATTCATTCATTCCTTCGTTCGTTCGTTCATTCATTCATTCATTCATTCATTCATTCATTCATTCATTCATTCATTCATTCATGCGTTCATTCATTCATTCATTCATTCGTTCAGTGATGGATTGATTGATTGATTGATTGATTGATTGATTGATTGATTGGCGCCCCCATGCCCCTCTCTGGCACCTTAGATTGATTCATTGCCCCCCCCCACCCCCCCCCCCCCTTTAAAAACAAATGCTCCTGCGTGAGATTGATTGATTCATTGCCCCCCGACCCCCCCGCCCCCCCCTCCCCCCCATTCGTAGATGGATGGGTTGCTTGATTGATTCATTGTTTAGTTGCTGGCCCCCCCATCACCTACCTCCCGGGCCATGCGTTCCTTTGTTTGCCGGTACAGTGTTCCCCGCCCTCCCCCCAAAAAAAGAAAGCTTCATTGATGATGGGTTGCTTGCTTGCTTAACTAACTGCCGGATTGATAGATTGATTGACTGAGTGCTTGATTTGTTGATTGATTGATTGATGTTGGATTGCTTGCTTGCTTGACTAACTGTCTGATAGATGGATTAATTAGTTGCTGGATTGATTGATTGATTGATTGACTGATTGACTCATTCATTCATTCATTCATTCATTCATTCGTTCATTCATTCCATTCATTCATTCATTCATTCATTCATTCATTCATTCATTCATTCATTCATTCATTCATTCATTCATTCATTCATTCATTCATTCATTCATTCATTCATTCATTGTTTGCTTGATGGATTGATTGATTATTGATTGATTGATTGGATTGATTGATTGATTGATTGATTGATTGATTGATTGCCCCCCCCTGCCCCACCCCCCCACCCCCATGCCCCTCTCTCGTGCGTTTGATTGATTGCTTGATTGAGTGATTGATTGATTGATTGATTGATTGATTGATTGATTGATTGATTGATTGATTGAAGTGACTGATTGATTGATTGATTGATTGATTGATTGATTGATTGATTGATTGGTTGGTTGATGGATTGATTGATTGAGTGATTGATTGATTGATTGGCGCCCCCTGCCCCCCACCCCCCCCCCCCATCCCCATGCCCCTCTCTCGCAAGTTAGATTGATTCATTGCCCCACCCACCCCCCCGCCCTTTAAAAAAAAGGCTCGTGCGTTAGATTCATTGATTCATTGCCCCCCCCTCCCCCCCCCCCCCTCCCACCCATTCGTAGATGGATGGATTGCTTGATGGTTGATTGATTGATTGATTGCTTAATTGATTGATTAATTGATTGAGTGACTGCGTGAGTGAGGGAGTGAGTGAGTAAGTGATTGAAGGATTGATTGATTGATTGATTGATTGATTGATTGATTGATTGATTGATTGATTGATTGTGAGTGAGTGATTGATTGATTGATTGATTGATTGATTGATTGATTGGTGCCCCCCCTGCCCCCCCCCCCCTCCCCATGCACCTCTCTCGTACGTTAGATTGATTGCCGGACCAATGTAACCGCCCGGGGTTCTTACTGGAAAAAAGTGAACCTGGACTTGTGTTTTAGGACCTTGGGTATCAAGGAACCTTAGGAAGCTTGAAACATGTGCAATGAAATGTCCAAGGTATCAAGGACCTTGGGTGCAAACAACTCCTTTCCCTCATTCCAGGTATTTTGACATTCGGAGACCTCGGGTAGAAGGTCCAAATACTCTTGGCGGACGAAGTCCCTCAAGAAGCAAAGGATCCTAAATCAAAACGAGTCCGTCCCAAGTATAAGGGCGCCCCTACCAAAACACATCAATAACCAGGTAACCGAATGCCGGTATAAACCCGAGTTCAAGAACTTGTCGGGAAGCTGCAGCCCACACAGCGGATGCCGCGAACATCAATCCAAGTCAAGTGTTGTGTGAAATGCAAAGGTGATCAGTTCCATCAAAACGGCAGACGTCCACGAAGAAGAGGAAAATGAGGGCCTCAGCGTGTAGTTGACCAGCGAACCCAATTCATGCTTGTCGTTTTCGGCTGCTCTGCCGAACAACAGGGATCTGGGACGAAAATGAAACACCTTCATGTTAAGTTCCACGTGCAAGAGTCGTACCACATCAACCGAACACTCGAAACTTCATCCGTAGCCTCCACGTGTAAAAAGCAAGCTCTTTCAGGTATTGGATGTGGTTCAAGGCGTCTTTGAAGTCCATTGGCAAGTTGGTGCTTCTGTCCTTGGTGGTCTTCCTGCTGAAGATGGGCTTCAAGCGTCTCCAGCACGGCCTATCGGTGGCCACTGTGCTCTACACACAGTATGCCAAGTACTACCGGACACCTGGCACAGTAGGGCGTTAGGGCGAGCTCAGTCGGGGGCGAAACCAGCGCACGTTGAAGGCCGCTTTCTTCTGGGCCAAAGCCTGACCTTGTAGACTTTACAGAAGTTCCCTTAGTTTCTCTGTTCCGACCCTGTGAGGAGCTTTGTTTCCTAGCGATGCCCTGACCAACGCTTGTACACTTTTGACCGTGCTAGCGTTCCTTCATTTCCCTTTTAAGCAGCACGACATAAACTTGTTGCGGGGGCCCAAGTCCGTCCAGCTTTTATGTGAGGAGAGCTGTTACCTTGCTTGTGCTGTTTTGGTTGGTCCATGGTGGTTGATTGGGTTATTTTCTTAGCTTGACGGCTTGGGAAGTTTTTTTTTTCCCCGGGGTTGTGCGGTTGTTTGGCTCGTTTTTTCCTTGATACGTGTGGTAATTGTTTGCGATTCTCGGAGTACTCGTGAAAGTTCTATTGTTAAAAGGCCACGCGCACGATCCTGATACACTTGATTGGGATTTTCCCAAATGAAAGCTAAGGCGAGGGCAGGCAGTTGCGCGACATCCCGGGCATTAAAATCCCGCCGCCACCCGAATTAATCGGGACGCTGTCCAACAAACCCGTGAAAAGGCCCACGTAGCCATCAGAGCTGCAAGTGTTTATTCTTATCAGAAGCCATGTAAATATTCAACAAAAATGAATGATAGCATCTTGCCTATCGGCAAATCAGGCTCTAAGTTTTCTGGAATGGAGCATCCTCCACCCTTCAAGTTTTAGTACGGGAAGCACCCTGTGTCTGCGTAGTTTGTTCTGTTCGATTACGGCGAGTTTGCCTTTATGTTTCTTCCCCTTCTTGAAGCATTTGGCTGTCCTTGGTTCTGTCGGGGCTGTCCGGCTGGCTTCCGACTGCGCCTATTTGAATGTTGATGTTTGTCAAAGTCTAAAAACAATTGGGTGATGTCTGCAACACTTGCAACTTGGCTGATTTTGACCGTGGTCAACAACTGAGCCCGACAGTAGCAGACCTGGTGGGGAGACCTGAGACCATGAGGCAGAGTTTAGAAGCATACATATTTAGTTGCCTAGACGGTAACTGGAAGCGCTGGGGAAGTCAAATCAGAAGAAACCCACAAAGAGGCCGAGCATTTTGATATCCCGAGCTGCATGTGAAACAACTGAGGAAGGTGAAGGTCTTTGCCGACCCGAAATATGGCAAGAAGACGGGCGATGCAGACGTTGCCCGAATGCCCTGGCTAAGCCGGGGGCACATACTGATGCTCGTAGTGAATTTGGGGGTGGCCTACCTCATTTTCGACAACGTGGCTCGGTTCAGCCGGCCAAAGCCAAGCTTTTGCTCAGTCCAAAGCGAATCGACCTTGTGACCCGTTGGTTTTCGCATGTTAGCTCATTCTTAGTCAAGGTCGTTAAAGGGTTAATCGTTTAGTCTAAGGTCTTTTTGGCCAGCGGGGTTGGTGTTCGTTGGAAGGCGTTCAACTCTTTGAGCAGCACCCAAAACCACATAGTTGTTTTTTTGTTGGCGGGAATTCTACAAAGTTTTACTTCAGCTGGTGAGGCCGACTGAAACGCACAACCATCTTAGAGCGAATGTCAATTGGTCTTGGGCGCTACTCAGTTGTGGCTAAACCATTTACTCCATGGCAGCCCAATGGCACTGCCATGTCCGTGAACCCTTGTCTTATTTCGGATAATTTTGGCGACCTCACAACGGGGAGCAACTGGCGATCTCACTGAGAGAGGTCCCTTGCTCACTGATAAAGGCCCTTGCTTGAGTTTTTTTCTCATTGGTTTTTTCGAGTTGATGAATGATGACTATCATTCACCTAGTGTGTCCTCTCGGGGGAGAAGTTATATCGTTCGTGAGTCATGTGTCGCGATGTCTTTGAATCAGAAACGCATCAACATGGTTTGCCTTTTCCTTTGAAACCAGCCCAACGAGGGTTCGAACAAAAGGGAAAGCCACTTGCACTACTCTGGATGGACAAAATCCTTCGCACCAGTTGGGATGGATGAAAGCCTATGGCAACTGGTTAATAAGCCACCAGCCAACCAGTGCGGAGTGGATTCTGACCCCCAAACGACTCAATTGAACCCACTAGTAAGCCCATATGGCTTATCAATTGTGCCATCCACAGCGCCAGACGTTCTTAGGAGTTGTGTCATTCTTTTGAATGTACCTTTATATTTTTTGTGTTTTTTTTTGGGGGGGGGAACCCAAAGGAAGCCGAAGCCTTTTTGCGGTTCCCCCGATTTTGGTTTCAGCGCCCAGGTGGGAGCAGCGACCCTCTTTCTGCGCTTCTACGAGTGGTACATCGCCTCCATCGCCCTGAGCACTGAGCTGCTGGGGGAGTACACCTACAGGCTGAACTATCAACAAACTAACATTTTCGTGTACAAGAACCTCGGCAGTTTTTTTTACTTACTTGGTGAATGAAAATATGTTTGACTTGCTGAGTTGGTCGGTTAGTTAGTTTTGCTTGCTTGCTTGCTTGTCTGTCTGCCTGTCTGTCTGTCTGTCTGTCTGTTTGTTTGTTTGTTTGTTTGTTTGTTTTGTTTTGTTTTGTTTTGTCTGTCTGTCCGTCTGTCTGTTTGTTTGTTTGTTTCTTTGTTTGTTCCACTAGTTGAACGATGGGGGGGGGATTGTATGTGTACAGCAACCAGGCAAGCTCAGTTACATCTCGCTGTTTGCTATTCAGTTGCCATGGTCAAAGCACCTACTCACCTTTAGCGGGGTGGGGGGGAAAGGCGGGAGATGGGGCGGGGGGCTCATTGCGAATCAGGGGGAACCATCAACAAAAACATCTGAAGGCCTTACGAGCGACAACAGAACAGCAGCAAGACCAAGAGGAAACAATCAAGAACTCAGCTCAACAAAAAAAACAACAACAATCTCACCTTTTCCACGCCGAAAGCTTTTAAGCGCCAAAGGAAAGGCTGGTACTTGTGCGGCTTTGGCACCGTGGTGCTGGTGGGCTTCTACGTGCCCTTCGTGGGGCTTCTGCTGTACCACAGCTTTCAGTACGCGGGGGCGAAGTTGTTGGTGACCATGCTGCCAGACGGATCCGCGGGGTTAAAAAGCATTGGGAGGGGAAAGGGAAAACCAAAAGCAACGGCAACGAACATATATTTCCTTTAATTGTATCCTCTTTCCAATTGTGGACAGCGGTCATGCTGCCTTGCCAAAACTCAGGGGCAAAAAATCCACCAAACTGACCAGTGGGGATGGATGAACACCTATGAAAAAGGGGATAAACCACCTGCCAACTTGTGCCTGGTGGGTTTTCTTCACCCACAGTATGGTAATTTTTACCCAGTTCAACTTGACTCTCTTTCCACAAGCATGGAAGCAGACAGTGTTTCAGATAATGGCAGTCTTCCGAAACCTTTTGGTGTACTTCCACGCTTGTTGGAAGGGGGCAACTCTTGTGACAGTATATCCCCTAAGGCCTCAGTAAGTTTGCCTGGGTGAGCCACCCTGAATCCCTTGAACCCCATCAAACAAATGCACCATGTGGATGGACCAAATCCCAGGCATTCCGGGCTTCCTCCATCCCAACATTTTGCAGGATTTCGTCTATCCACTGTGTGAGACATGTTGAAAAACTTGTTCCCCTCTTGTTGGTTTTCCTTGAAATTGGCCCATGTGCAACAACTAAACCCCAAACCCTAAACCCTAAACCCTTTCAACCAACAAAATGTTGCAGGTTGTTGCAGGGGGTGGAATCAGTTTGTTTCCCGAGGCTGGAGCGGGAGTCCGGGGAGCCAAAGATGTTGCTCTCAGACTGCCTTTGAAGATGCTCACCTGGAGGTCGTGGATTTGAAGCTCTTTGATGGTCCGTTGAATGAAGACGGTTTGAGCAACAAAGAAACTGCCTCATGCAAACTGACAGAACATGCAAGATCAAGCTCAGTTGATTCGGGAAGAAATGAACGAGGTCTTCTGAACAGTTGCCCAGGTAGATCGAACAAATCGCGACCTCACAAAAGGATTTGGTGTGCAACCGATTTGCCCCTGTCATAATTTGGGTGGATGAACCACCCGCATTTATAGGACTCGGGGGAACCCCCTTCGGCTTTCTTGCTGAAGGGGGCGCCCCGGTAGCTCCTTGCGGCGGCTTCCAATCGGGACAGATGCGGCGCGGGAGAAAAGGTCGGCACGGCTTTTCGCCGAGTGAGAAGCGCCGCTTTGTCTTTTTGTGTTGGTTTAAAGGAAGGCCAACAAGGAACACCACCGTTTGGTTTGGGGGGGGGGGGTTCCCCTGAACAACAACCGACCCACATACCGTTGGACCAACTGTGTGGACTTTGTCCAGGCCAAGCGACAGAAGGTGGAGGAAGAGGAGGAGGAGCCGGAGGTGGGGCCGATTGCTCGCAGCCGCATGGTTCAATCCAAAATGATACGGAGTTGCACTCCTGCAAACCAACGGCAAGTGTCCCAGAAAGAGAAGGTTAACGTTTAACATGGTTCAACATTTTACATTTAGCAAGATTAGAGACAAGTCCCCAAAAAGAAGCATCCTTGGCTGTTGTGGTCGATATGCCATTGGGACCCCAGCCCCAACCCAAATCTCATGCTTTGGCATGGCAGCTGGAGTACCATTTGTGGGGTGATTTTCAGGATATTTTTCCAGGTGGTGGGGAGCTCACCGACATGTTGTTCTTTGGACACACTGATCAAAGGCAGGTGCCAATTTGAGGTTTGGTCAAAGTGTCCAGTAATCTATCGCCTTCATTTCGGAGGAACCAGACGACACATTTCTCCATGCCCTCTCTGCGGTTTTGAGATCGGCATTTGATACCGTTGGGTTCGAGCGTTCCTTTCAGTTGCCCTTCAAAGCGCACCCAGAAAGGGTACCCTCGAAACCCAGACGCCCTTGTTTGATACCAGCAAACCAAAAGACACAGCTTGTTCACATGCGTCTGACATACAACCTGGGAGTTCCGGGCAACGCGGCCACGCACTCTTGGTATCGGAGAGGTAACAGCAATCCGCCACGCCACATATTTGGGCGTGCCAGAAACTGCATGCCTTGATTGGTACTTGGATATGCACAAAATTGGTCAAGCCAAAGAGGAAAATCGGTTCCCTTTTTCTGGCTGGTCACTGAAAAGCTTGGACACAGCTCCATTTTGTTGATTGCTCCCCAAGTCAAACAAACGCAGGGGTTGGTTGATTTCTCCGTTAGCCGTACCTCTAGCTTTATGTCGACCTGTGGCTGGTTACGAACCCACCCAGCATATTTCCGCAAGGACAAAATCATGGCCAGCAGATCGTCCCTGCACAAGTTCGAACTTGAAGATGGTCTTCCTAGACCTTTACCTTTTTCTCCCCCCCCCCGGCTGCCTCAAAAAGATGGGAATTCAGATGAATGAATCTGGGAAGGAGGGCATAGGAGCCCAGGTGATGTTTCCTTCAAAATGTGGCTTGCCCAGTTGCAGTGGACTTGGCGCAGGGTCTCTGGGTGTTTTGCCATCTGGCGTGCCCTTGGGGCTTGTCGCCCCCCCTTCACTGGCCACTGCAAAAGCCTTTTGCACAAGAGGATGCGCCTTCTGTGTATTCCACCTGTTCTTCTCTTGCTAGTACTCTTTCAATGCCAAAGGTTCTCATTTTAGTGCTTGTTTAGTACCTTTTTTGGTACTCCTTGAGTGCTCTTTGGTCCATGTTTGGCAATTTCTCAAAATGAATAGATCCAGAAAATGTTCTTTGGTATTCCTTTTTGGTCTCTTTTTGATCAATTTTTCTTTGGTATTCCTTGGAGATCCAGGAAATCCACGAAAAAGCCCGGCCTGAACTGAGAGAGCCGCCAGGTTGGCAGACTCAACTTTGAGGCTGGACGCCGAAAGCGTGCCGATGCCGCTTTCGGGGTGCCTTTCTCAAGATCGGCGACGGTTCGGTAGGTCATTTGGTGGCTCCCAGCCATCCGATTCCTCAGCTTTTTAGAGCTAATTGGTTGGTTTAGTGGTTGGAATTCCATTTAACTCACTGAAAGTTAGACTTTTAGCAGGGGATGTGAGGACAGCCCAGTTTTTAGGGGGCCCCTGTTTTGTGAAACCCTGATACAGACTCATACAGTGTTTCAGCTTTTCATGTGTGCGTTGTTGTTCTGTTGTGTGGTCTGCCATTCATCCACTAGTCTTCAGGCCGGAGGAGCAGTGGAAATCACGGTGGGCCAGTAACAAACAATCGTGAACGAAGGAATAATAACCTAGCGTTAGTGCAGAAGAAGAAGAAGAAGAAGAGGATGAAGGATGATGATGATGATGATGATGATGATGATGATGATGATGATGATGATGATGATGATGATTATGATTATGATTATGATTATGATGTTGATGAGATGATGATGATGATGATGACGAGGATGATGATGATGATGATGATGATGATGATGATGATGATGAGGATGAGGATGAGGATGAGGATGATGATGACGATGATGATGATGAGATGAATGATGGATGATGGATGATGGATGACGCATCGTGATGGTGAGATGGATGACGGATGATGAGCTGGATGATGTATGATGTATGATGGATGACGTATGATTTAGATGATTGAGATGATGAAGATGATGAGGATGACCATGGATGACCTGTACGAATCATATCGCGCCGACCTAGGGGTGAAACGGGAGCGCGAGCTCACCCATGGTTGAAAGTTTCGCAGGGGTTCCTCACGTCCACTTGTTTGATTGCAATAGTTTGTGCGTCTGACACTTTCCCCCTTTCAGTTGCCCTTTTAGAAGCGGCACAGTTCCGACAATACAACGAGTCCAGCTTGTGCTGCACCGAAGCAGGTCTTTTTGTACCGACCTGTTTGGGCTAGTCTATTGCGGACGACAGTTTGGGCTTTTGGGCTTGGAGCCGGCGAAGCCGGTGGCAGAAGTTTAACAAATCTAGGAACTATAGTTACATGTCTTTCTTATTTGTTGTCTGTTCGTCTTTCTTTCTTGTCTTTCTTTCTGTCTTTTTTTCTGTTTGTTTCCTCTCCCTTTTTTTATTATCTCTCTCCCTCTCTCTCTCTCTCTCTCCCTCTCTTGTTTGGTTTTTCTCTCCCTCTTTCTCTCTCTCTCTCTCTCTCTCTGTCTCTTTCTGTTTGTGTGTTTCTTTCTCTTAGTCTTCCAATATTTTTGTTGTGCTGTTTATTTATCTTTCTTTCATTTCCCTTGTTTGTCTTCTTTTTTCCTATTTTTTTACTCTTGTTGTGTGTCTTCATCATGTTTTGTCTTTTTCTTTCTCGTTCTCTTTTTCCGTCTTTCCATCTATCTATCTACCCTTCTAGTTTTATCTGTCTACCTACCTGCCTATCTAGATCAATTTCCGCTTGGAGAACACATCTGAAGGGAGGGTGGGTTTATGAAGTGTTTTTGGGGGAAGCAAACCTCCCTCCTTGCTGTCCCTTGTTTGCCTCACCCAAATACGGCTTTCTTCATGGCTTTGGACACAAATCTTCCCCGTGTTTTGCTTTGGATTCTTGAGGGCTTACTCGGAGCAGAGGGACGGTGTGGCTTGCGCAGGCTGACAGTGCCGACTTGCCCTTCGACGCCACTATCGGGCGTGCCGGGCAGAAGGCGACTTTGGCAACAAGGTTTGGGACCATTTAAGTGGCACTTGTTTTTTGGGGCTTTTTGTTGGACTTGTTTGGACTTTTTTTGGGCATTTCAAAGTTTGGACTTTTTTTTTGGGTTTGGGAACCCCCAATGTACCTTGGCCTGGGGCTTCCTTCTCTCCAATCTGCGAAAATATCACGAGCCGAGGAAAGAATCATGGGAATGAGTGGCTGAGAAACGGCTGGAGCGAAACGTGTGGGGAATGGCTGGGGCCGGCCGGTATTCCTGGGATGGTAAGGACCCGAAAATTCGACTTTGGCGGAGATTCGTGACTTTCAGGGACCCTTGAAATGGTGTTTGCCAAAGGCGGTGCCTTGCAAGCATTCCACACCGGGGTGAAAACAACGGCAACCACACCCCACATAGCATCACTGGGATCTCCTCCACAACCGTTTCAAGGATGTTTCTCAAAATAGGGGGTCCCCTTTTTGGATGGTAACTGGAATCCAAAACGAAACCAGCCAGCCAGGGTCCAACTCATTTGAGAATCACGAGTTTCTGATGTTCACATTTTTGAGACTCAGCCAAACTTGCGGTATGTTTCTTGAGAATCACCCAAATGTATTTGATGTTTCTCTCATTTCGAGAAGCGCCCATTTTATGATTTTGGAGGGTCTGATTTCTGTGGCAACAAAAAACCGCCAAGTTCGAAGTCCGAGGTGCGAAAGCTGCAGGCGAACCTCCGGAAGCAGGAGGCGGCTCTGGGGTTTTTTGGGGTGGAACGAGCGAGTTTTCACCCATGTGGGTCCTTGGGGGATCCAATTCTTACCCTCCCACCAATTAACATGGAACCTGATAAAAAGTCCCTTTAAAAGGAACATGGTCCAAGCCAGGACCCCCCCGAACGTCAGGGTCCATGTCAATTGGTGGGAGGGTATCTCACCGCACTCATTTTGTAGATTTTGAAGGGAAATCGAATGAGGAATACTCCGACATTGCTGACACAAATGTCTGGATGGGTCCCCAAAAGGGATCCTCCTAGAAGTGTCGGCTTGTTTGGGCCTTCAGGGGGTACCGCCCATTTTTTGGAAGTTCCCTATTTGGAGACAGCCCATTTTGTGGGGAGATGTGAGCCCTGAACAATATGTTTCTTTAGTGTACGCGTTTTCGTACTTTTGACGAATCGATTGGAAGGTATTCCAGCCCTTTATCTTGAACAGCCCAGTTTGTGTATCTGTGCCAAAACGCGAATCGGTAAATGGAGGGCAATGGACTTGCCAATCATGGAAACGCTTTGCCGCACGTCACCATCAACACCCTGGTACTTGGGTACTTGGAGGGTAGTAAGGGACATTGTCAATTCTTTGCGTGGTTCTGGGTGGACCATTTTAATGCCGGGTTTTGAGTATGACTTACTTGACATTTCGTTGTTTTGCTGACTTCTTCGAGTCATCCGGATGTTGGTTCTGCTCTGGGAATGTGGGCTTGTCTCGAAATGGTGGCCCCCTAAACCAATAGAGCAAAACAAAAGCTTGGCTTCCTTCGTGCTTCATTTCAAGACAAGTCCAACCATAGTCAAGAAACTCCCAAGCACTGTGCAGCCTCCATTGGTTTCAACTGAGACAAGCTCCCACAAGAAAGACACGCCCGAGGATTTGCCACTCCCGGAAGCAGCCATGTTGAACCTCCAGGTTTTACATGGCTGTGGGTCAAAACCAATGGGATCCGATTTTTGGGGTAGTTGCACCACCCATTTTAGAACCTATTTTAGTGGGGATTGGGATGTTCACTGGGGGGACGATTTGGATTTTGACCCATGGCCACATGTTGATTTCCTTTGGTCACCTTCAATGGGGCTTGCCGATCGGACTCACTGGGATGTCTCAAGGCTCAGGCGTCAGGTTCTTCAAGCTCGAACTCCATTTCTTCAGAGTGGGTTTCTTTAAACTCAAAGAGCAAATCGCGGGCACTCGGCCGATTTCCGCCTCACCGTTGGCGCCGGAGGGCTCTTTCCGGATCTCGCCGGATCGCGTGAGTTAGGCGGATGCGGAGAAGCTGAAGAGTGCTGAGGCGCAGGGCAAGGGCGAAGAGCTCCGGAAGGCCGGTGGGTTGGTCAAAGTTGGGGGTTCGGGGTGTGGGTTTCGGGCGGAGATCGAAGGCGGACAGTAGGAGGGGGGGTTGCTGTTGCTTCTGTTTGTTTTTTTTGGGGGGGATTGAGGGGATGGGTACATCTCAAATATGGCATGAGGGGTGGGGTTGGTTTTTAGTTGTTTTCTGGCGGGGCATCTATCAAAATACATTTTTTTTTTTTTTTTTTTTAAACGATAGCGACGTTCGAAAACAAGTTGCAACAGCCAACCCTCGATTTTGGATGTCGACATAATCAAGCGGAAGTACCTTCCAGATGAGTTGCCAACGTCATTTTCGTCAGGGGCACGATTCAGGACTGTGCTGAGGTTTGCATGCTCTCAACTAGTCACAGCCGTCTCACCTGTTGATTTGTACTTCTGTAAAAGGATAGCTTTGGCAATTCTGTGTTTGCCCGTGTTTCAGGCAAAAGAAACAGACCCTTTCGCTCCTGGACGGAACCCGATGTGTTGGGTGACCCGTTTGGGCATGGCTTGCTTTCGGATGCGACCCGAAGCCAGGAGCTAGCGATTCAGAAGGCGCTGCAGCGCGCTCGCGGAGAGAAGGCGTCGATGGCTTCGGCTCGATCGGAACGGCCAAAGGACCCTTCAGTATACTGTTCCCTTTGGTACAAGAAAAAACAGCAAACATGATTGGAGTGGTTGGGATCGACGAGTTTTTTCCCAGTGAGATAATTAGCTTTCATGTGTGTGTGTGTGTGGTGTCTTGTGCATACTTTGTGCAAGCTGCCGGAGTAAGTGCCCCAAGCAATTCACAACAGCTCATTTGTTCGAGGTGAAGTGTGTGTGTGTGTGTCTCTCCTGCCGGCGTGTCAATTTATAAGGGGAATTGCTCTAACTGCTAAACACATAGTTTTGGTATGGCACTTGGAATGGAAACCAAAGAACACTGCAGCACTGCAAGCTGCGCGAGTCTCGCGAGTGGTGGTTCTGTTATTCTCTTGCTCATGCTATAATGCAATAGCCCATTTGTTGGTGATTTCCTTTAAAGCGAGCTCAAGTAGAATCATGCTTTGACTGGGCCCCTAGGCGGAGTCGCAGACTTGGGGGCCACAACCAAATTTCCTGTAGTAGTTTTTTTTTTGGGGGGGGTTCAGCGTGCAGTTGTATGATGAGTTAAGAGACAGATAGCTTGAGTGTTCGTGCAGGTGCACGATGACGTGAGCAAGCTGCGGAAGGTGCACAAGAATCTGGAGATGAAGAAGAAAAAGGGCCAGGAGCGTGGTGTTGAGCCGTCATTTCTTCAACCAAGCTGGGATTGGTGCAAGCCATTTGATCCAAAAAAAGCTGGCAGTTTGCTTCTCGACCTCCGCATGGTACCTGTTGTAGCCTTGACACGACCCCACTTTGCACACGTGTCAGGGCTCGTCATGCACATCCCGGCGACCGGCGTACAACAGGTGCTGTATCCCCTTGGCATCAAATGTATATCGCCATGCGTTCAAAACACCTTGCTTGGGTGAATTTCGGCCCACGCTTGCTCGCTTCTGTTGTGGCAACAGTTGCACATCCTTTGAATTTCCTTGATGTTGGAGATGGCTCAGATATATCCCAATAAGATGTAATTTTACAGTATATGGGGCCTTTGAGAAGAAGACGTCTAGCTTGTGGAATTCTGCGGGCGCATCTGAATTGGAAAGATGGACATTTGTTTGCTTTCCGCTCGTGAGAACTGCCAACAGGTTCATATGTCCTAGGTATTGCGCGGTAAGAAGTCGATTTTATCAAACAAGCTATGCGCATGATGTTTGTGAATGATGTATTTGGTGCAATGTTTGCATATTCAAAAGAACTTGTGTAACGGACAAGTATCACTCATCTCAGTGCCGTGTAAACCGATTCAATCGCAACATGTGAAAAGGCGAAAGGGTTGCTTGTGCTCATTCAACATGTTCGAGATTTCAACACCCTGAGGATAGAATCCTCGGCCACGATTCTTGCATAGGGCTCGGGGACACCACTGGGAGGTCACGCAAAGAAAAATCGAATGCCAGGAGCGTTGGGAGGCAAAGATTGAGAATGACAAGCAGAAGGCGCTCTCGATGGGGGTTCCCGGATCCCTCATCCGATCTTTCAGTTTGGGCCCTAAAACACGGGTGTGTCTCTTTGTCAGGGCCTCTTTTTGTGGTGTTCAAGGAAAACCAAAAGGAACACCACCATCGTGGGGGTTCCCCTAAAAAACACACCCAATATGTGTTCTACCTCAAACTCACAGGGCATTTTTGGTTGGGGCCACGAAAAAGGGGTGCAATCCATCTTGTCCGCTCTGGGGCAAGGTGGGACGCGCGATGCGATCGCATTGTTTTACCCCCGCCTGTTTTGGTTGAAGGGGGGCAAATGAAGCTGCGACTTCACCAAAGACAGCGGGGGGATTCCATATTTCAGGCTCACGCAGATCCCTAGTTTCTTCTTGTGGGAGATGGGTTCGTCTCGGAAGGCCCGGGGCCCGAACCCTTTTCCTTTTCGCCTTTAGCATAGCTCCCAGGCCACGCGGAAGTAAGTCTTAAGGGGTCCAACAACCGGATTCGGAGAGCGAAGGTTCGACTCAGCCGCTCGACTTCGAGTCTGCTATTGGGTTGGATCTTTAGACTTTAACTTTTTGGATTCCCCTCATATTTCCTTTTAACCAGCAAACAAAATAA